TCGCTCATCCTGCTAATCCCCGATGTAGAGGGTTGAATTTCGGACCGTATTTTAAACCACTGAAATTGTGGCAGCGTATTTCAAACAGCGAAAATAACGGGACTGAATATTGTAAAGCAGAAATAAGAGGACTGAATGCAATTTGCAATTCCTTTTGAAAAATGTCCGGGATTTCCCTCCATACAAATGTATACAGCGCGTGTGCATGAGCTAAGTTCCCCGGAAACACCGATCAGTCTAAAACGCTTATGAAACGGTAATAACAACATTAAATATTTAATTTTCATAATTGTTGTTCCTGGGGGTGAACATATACGGAAGAGTATTAGGGCCACCATGAAAATATAATTTGAATTCTGATTTTAATTAAAGTCAGAATTCTGAGTTTAGAAAAAAAAAGTCAGAATTCTGAGATTAAAGTCAGAATTATGAGAAAAAAGTCAGAATTCAAATAATTTTTCATGGTGGCCCTAATCCGTAAACATATGTATCGAGTTATTTGAGGCTTCATTTTTGCGTCATCATGGATTGTGCAGTTACGACGCAAACACCTGTAAGGCTGATTCGACCAATCAGAGAGCGGGATTCGGCGAAGATTCCATAACTACGTTTATGTTCGAAATGTATATATTTATTCCACTCAGTTCATTTGAAGCCATTTCACGGAGAGTCAAGCTGTACTCACGGCACAAAAATGTCTTGCGGATGTTTTTGCTGGTGGCCTACGAAAAAGGTATACATTTTTTCTTCCACTATAAATGTTATGACCATTATTTTTTTTTTTTGGTTACTGTGAGAACAGGTCCAATTTGTCGAAATGATTTGACAAACCCATAAAAAACACCAGCATCTCCATCTGTAGGATTCTGGGCACGTGGACTAAATGCAGTCCGGGTGCATAATCTTCTGTCTTAAACAATGTAATCTTTTTCGTAAAGACACTATACCTTATTGCTACGTTGTATATTTTTCTTGCTTCTGAGTAACACAGCTTTGATAAACCAAGCCTACACAGGATGATATTTGGGATATAATATACAATATATCTATGTTTCTGTATTCAGTGCTCATTTCCTTACACTGATTCATCTTCTGTAAACAGCAGCGTGACACTGTCACTGTTGAAGGGGCAGTCCAAAAAGAAGATATAAAGAAGCCCCAAAAAAAGAAATTTAAGTTGACGCGCAAGTTCCCATGGCTGAAACGTGAGAAGTGCCCAGCCAAGGAGAGGTAGTACCCAGGTTTTCCTTATACCTTTATCAGTCAATTTCTCTCACACCTGAACTCTACTCACTGTAGTGGTTCTGGCTCTTCTAGCTCAGATGAGGATGGACGGAAGTCAGCTGACTGCATGGACTCTGGGGACAGTAACGCTGTCACGAACAGCCAGAGTCCGTGCGTAGTCACTGTCGACTCTGAGGTACACAGATCGGAAATATTACCAGTGTGATTTCAAAATTCAGTGGTGCCCTTGTATCCCTTTCTGAA